GAGGAGTGAGTGGAGTGAGAGGAGGAGGAGGAGAAAGGAGGAGGGAGCACCTTGAGCTTGCTGTAGGCTGTCACGATCATGGCGATGGAGGCCCCGTCAAAGTTCCAGGGCTCGAGCTGGAGGCTAGCTTGGGACAGATGATCAAGAACCTTCATGTCCGCATATCCCGCCTGCCTCCCTGGTCACATCGAAGTCTTCCCTCCTTCTCCTCCTTCTCCTCCTCCTCCTGCCAACCGCCTCCCTTCCCCATCTCCTTTCCCCCCCTTCTGCCTCTCCCTGACCCCCCGCCCCCTCCCTCCTCTTCTCTTTCCTCCTCCTCACCTCGGCCATGGCCATGGCGATCACGCCGATGTGCTGACCCTGCAGCGAGGAGGCGTTCATCTCCAGCACCGCCATCCCCATCCTCTCCAGCAGCTTCATGTCCTTGCGGTTTGCCCGCGTCATGGCCCCCACGATCTGCACCACGTGCTGAGGCTTCAGCGATCTCAGCTCGATAGTCTGCGCGATGTCCGAGAGCCGGCGGAGGAGGGCGGATTCGAAGACTGCAGCAGTCATGAGAGAGAGGAGAGGAGAGGAGAGGAGAGGAGAGGAGAGGAGAGGAGAGGAGAGGAGAGGAGAGGAGAGGAGAGGAGAAGAGAGGAGGGGAGAGGAGGGAAGAGGAGGGGAGGGGAGGGAAGAACGAAGGGAGGAGGCTGCTTACCGTTGGCTGTGCTCAGAGCTTGCAAGACGCAGCCCACGGAGGAGGCGGAGAAGGAGGAGGTAGGGAGCTGGAGAACAGTCGCGCACAGTCTGCGGAAAGCGATCTCGTCCTGCATGCCGCTAGCTGCGAGCACCCGCATCATCCTTGCGACGCCGTCGGCTGACGAGAAGTTGAGGGGCATCTGCTGGATGATGGACGAGAAGAACCGCAGCAGCTGAGGCTCCCGCAGCCCGACCGCGTGAAACCCGTCAAGGATCGCGCCCATCCCCTCAAGCGTGAACTTCTCCTTCCCGATCAGCTGGCACGCCGAGCTCACCTGCTTGTACAGCAGCGCATCGCTCTGCCCCGTTCGCCCGTACGCACGCACGAGCGTCAGCACATCCTCCGCCGTCAGCTCCCGCGCCTGAGGCCCCAGCTCGCTGCCCATCTGCATGACTCGGTTGGCGCTGAGGAGCACGAGGGTGTCCCATCCCGCTCGTCCCTCCAGCGCCTGCAGCACCAGCGCCATCCTGTTGAGGCTCAGCTGGCTCATGCCGGCCTGGATGACATCCGCGTACATCCCCACCAGGTCGTCCAGCTTCTTCCTCTGCCTCCCCTTCGCCTGCCCCTCCAGCTTGTGCAGGAGTCTCATGGCATCTGCCGCCGCCACAGCGCAGGAGCAGTTGTTGGAGCAGCGGGTGTGGGTAGGAGTGAGACGGGAGGGCAGGGACCTGGACAAGACGTCGAGCTCGTCGAGCAGGAGGCTCAGCTTGTTGCAACTCCTGAGGCCCGGGGGGAGCTGCAGGCAAGACCCTCCCTCCTCATCTCCTTCCTCCTCCCACCTCTCACTCTGCTCAGCTGGCGAGGCGCCTCCGGCGCTGCCTATCCGATGCTTCAGCTCGTCCATGGCTCCTCTCACCACCTCCGACGTCTCCGCGTTCACGTCCGACACGAACAGGTGGCTGCTCCTCCCGCTCCCCACCCGCAGCGGATGCGCTCTCCTGCTCTTCCACTCCCTGATCGCATCCGAGTCCGTCATCATGGCGAGCTGGTCCCCGAGAGGCTGCCCCTTGCTGGGCTTCTGCTGTTGCTCCACCAGCACGTAGATCTGCATGTTCGCCGCTGCCTCGCTCTCCTGCAGCATGTCCATCACCCAGAAACGGTTGGACTGCCTGAGCATGGCCCCGACTGACAGCTGCTGGAACCGCACTAGGGAGTGTAGGCTCTCCCCGTAGTACTGCTGCCACTTGTACCCGAACGTCAGCGAGTTCAGCCTCCCGCCGAACTCCCGCAGAAGCTCTGCGGACCTGCAGCTTGTCAGTTCTCCTGCTCCTGCTCCTCCTCCTCCTCCTCCTCCTCCTCCTCTACCTCTCGTGGAACTCGTGGATGCTGTAGGCCAGGCTCCTGCTGGACACCTCGTCCTCCGCCTCCATGTCCTCCATGTCCCTCCTGCTCATCGCTTGTCGCCATGCCTTGGCTCTCAGTGCTGCAGCCTCTGCAGCCTCTCGCTGGCGCTGCATCCTCGTCTCCGGCTTCCCTGCCCTGCCCCACGGGTTCCTGACCTCACCCTTCTGCGGCCCTGCCCGCATCGACACCCTTGCGAGGTTGAAGCTCTCGTCCAGGTCCAAGGGGGAGAGGAGGAGAGGAGGAGCAAGAGCAGGAGGATGAGGTTGGCGGCGTGAGGAAGAGGAAAATGGGCGGAGGAACCACGACGAAGACGTGGGGAGGGTGGAGACGAAAGCAAGGCCGGGGGAAGGAGAGGAGGAGAGAGTAGAGGAAGAGAAAGAAGAGGAGGAGGGAGGAGAGGAGAAGAGAGGAGAGAGGAGAGGAGGAGAGGAGGAGAAAGAAGAGGAGGAAAGGATCGCAGGCATCGTCCCCTCCGCCATGACAAGCAGCACGACTGCAGTCATACGAGCCTGCATTGTGGCGAGTGATGGAGAGTGCAACTGATGGGGTGGGGGTTGTAATACCACAATGACTAGGTAGGGTGATCAGCACAACAATGGGACAGAAATCAAAAGAAGGGGTACTTTATGGAGTATTTTGATGGGTGAGAATCAGGGTCTTTTAGGAACATGGGGGTAGTCGAAGCTTTGGGGTACGTGAAGTGGGGTGAGGGTGGTAAAAGGAGTCAGGTCCAAATTAGTTAACCTTGGATATGAGGGAGATGAAAAGGCAGGAAAACGAACAAAGTAAATCCGGCGAAAATCATTAAGTGGCTGAAACGGCGAAGAGTCAGCCATGGTGGCTTGAAAGGCAGGTAGAGGGGAAGGAGAAGAAGAGGAAGAGGAAGAGGAAGAGAAGAAGGAGGAGGAGGAGACACGTGAAGCTGAGAGACGAAGAGGGGGAGGGAAGGACGAGAGAACTTCAGTGAAGGATGAAGTTGGTGGGCATCAGGTCGATTCTGGTTGTTATTCTTTCCGCTCTCATCGTACCATCGCGATGCTCTCGTGCCCCTCGACGCGACTCCGAAGTCAGTCACATGGTGGGAGACCACCAAAACTCTCCGAGAGGACCAGCGCTGCATATGGTCTGGGGACAGCAGGACAAGCGGAGGAGGGTTGTAGGGAGCGTATCCAATCATGAGAGGAGGAGGGAGGGAGAAGGATACTCTAAGCTCCCTCAAGGTTTGGCCGAAGGTGAGTCAAGAGCATGCAAGCCAAGTCCTTGTGACTGCTTGCTGGTGGCAGGAGAGGGGAGGGGGCAGATGAAGGGACAGATGCTGTCCCCTATCGGGCAGGAGGAGCAAGGGGTGAACCCTAGAGGGCAGCCCTGTCCTAACTACGGGCTCAACGAGACTGAGTTCCTAGTCGTCGGTTTCACCGAGCACTACTGGAGGAAGACGGTCGAGATCCGCTCCCTTGAGGTCCCGCACCTCCTCCTCTTGCCCCCAGTGTGGCTGACTTCTCCTCCTTGCAGGGGAGGGTGCTGGGCATTGTGAAGCGCGGCTGCCCGGCATGGACCAACTCGTTCGTGTGGAAGGTGCCGCAGGAGCACGCGTCCGGTTGCAGAGACCACGTGGACCCGAGCGTGTTCTCGTCCAAGTGTCAGATGCCTGAGACCGAAGTCCTCTACACTGATGAGGTGCCAACCTACACACTCCTCTTCTTCTTCTTCTGCTTCGTCTTTGTCTCCGTCTTCATCATCTTCATCTTGTTGTTCTTTTCCTCATTCATCATTATCATGGTTGTTTTCTTCAACTGATCGAACATACAATCATCCTTATTGTTATCATCATCATCATGGTCGTGTTATCCAGTTGATCGGACAATTGTTATACTCCTCCTCCTCATCATCATCATCATCATCATCATCACCACCACCACCACCACCACCACCGCTGCCACCACCGCTGCCACCACCACCACACCAAAACGCTTCTCATGCTCTTCGTCTCCCAGTTCTCCGGGCTGCTCAACCCCGCGAGCGTGAAGATCATGGACTGCCATGACGATCAGATCTTCACCCTGTACGAGGAGCATCGGGAGGTCATCGTGCACGACTACAAGATCCACTCCGACTTCGTACTCGTCTCCCTCCTCTCCTCGTGTCCTCTGACGAGCCTCAGGTCGTCCAAGACCTCAACGGTAACGTCATGGGCTACTGCAGGCAGGATCAGCTCCCGCACGCCAAGGCCGAACGGTCCCTCGTCCGCGTCGGACAGCACAACTTCACCATCGTTGACCTTGAGGGGGAGGCGGTCGCAAGCGTGAGTGAACCCTTGACTGGATTGACGAGGAGGACGATGGGGAGGAGGGTATTGTGTAAGGGAGTAGAAGAAGAAGAAGATGATGATGATGATGATGATGATGGAAATCATGATGATGATAAAGATGTTGATGACGTTCCTGCAGGCCATTCGTCCTCTTCACTGGCCCAACGGGGCCACGGAGCATGCCTGGCATGTCACCATCCATCGCGAGTCGATCCCCCTGACTCTGAGCGACGTTCGGATCGTCGCAGTGGCGGTCGTGAACAACGTCCTGCTGCACGAGGAGGACGACTGGTTGCGTCTCTCCCTCCTCCTCCTTGCTCGACCTGATGGGGCTGGCAGGTGCTCGGACATCGTCTTTGCGCTCACTCCCATCCTCCTCACCCTCACCGCCATCGCCATCATCGCCGCTCTCTCCACCTGCTACTCGTGGGCGATGGTCTCGGGTAGAGGGTAAGAACTCCGTCAGTAACTCGTTCAGTTTGTCTCAAGTCACGCAAGTATTAAGATGTTCGCATAAAGTTACGTGCGAGCCACTCGCTCGAGCCACTGATCCTCCTCCCCGCTCCCTCCCTCCCTCCCTCCCTCTCCCTTCTCAGCTGCCACTGATGCTCTTCTTCTGCTGGCTCTGTCGCAACGCCTCCATGAGGATGCGCTTCCCGAAGATCGGCTTCCGGTTCTTCTCCTTCTTCTGCCCCTCCACCGTCGTCAGCGCCTTGCTCGCCAGCTCCGTGCGAATCGCCTGAATCTCGTCGCGCAGCCGCGCGGCCTCCTCGTACCTCTCAGCTCCCGCCGCTCGCAGCATCTCCTCCTCCAGGCCCTTCACTCGCTCCTCCATCTCCGCTGCCACCTTGAGGCGGACCGAGTGGCGGCGAACGAAGGCGGAGATGTCGGCCGTCGTCCTCGGCCCCTGGTAGTCGAGGGGGCTCAGCTTGTTCCTCGTGCTGTTCCCTCGCTCGGCCGGCCACATCCTGAGCGTCGGGTAGCCCTCGATGCTCAGCCCCGCCGGCAGCTTGTGGGCGGTGGCGTCAAACTCGGCGATGACGAGGTCCGGGTGCTCCTCGAACGCATCGCTCACTTCCATGTAGGCCGTCCGCATGGCCTGACAGTGGCCGCACCAAGGGGCGAAGAACTTGACAAGCACGTCCTTGTCCGGGTCCATGACCACCTGCTCGAGCTCCTCCCCCGTCAGCTTCCTCACGGGATCGTCGGGATAGATCACATCCTCCTCCAAGTTGCCCTTGGGCAGCTCGAACTCGGGCTGCTCCCCCGTGAAGGCTGAGAGGACGAAGGAGCGGATGACGCGGGCCATGGCTGGCACGGCTGCCGCCTCGTTCCGACAAGTCTCACTCTTGCCGCAGGTCTGTGAAGAGGAGGAGGAGGAGGAGGAGGAGGAGGAGGAGGAGGAGGAGGAGGAGGAGGAGGAGGAGGAGGAGGAGGAGGAGGAGGAGGAGGAGGAGGAGGAGGAGGAGGAGGAGGAGGCAGCCATGGCGACTGTGGTAAGGTTGAACTGAGGGCGGCTCTGATCCAGGCGGTACATTTCTCCCTTGTCCGTCTCCTCGTGCCCCGCCACCGCCACCACGACGGCAGGGAAGTCGCTCGCCGTGAGCCCGAAGTACTTGAGGACGCTGGTGAAGTTGCTGCTGATCTGCAGGAAGAGAACTTTCCCGAACCATTCCTCCGCCACAGCTGCGAACGCCGCCATGCGCTGCTCGTGGCCGGGGGAGAAGGGGTCGGAGAAGAGGAGGGTCTGGTTCCTGACTGGCGACTGCAGCACCCTCCTCCACACCTTCCCCGTCAGCTCCACCACCCGAGGCATCCGGTAAGTCGCCACGAAGGACTTGATCCGGTCCGCGTCAAACAGCGCGTACCGCCGCTCGGGGGGCAGCTGATGCCACTTGGGGGGCTGGAACCACCGCCCGAGCACGACGCTTCCTCCTCCTGCTGCCTGGCTCCGACGGAGGACGAGGCTCGGGCCCATGGCAGGGCCCTGCAACTCTCCCTCCTGCCTCTCCTCCCCTGCCTCTGAACCCAAACGAGCGACACCGAGCCCGCGGGCTTCAAGGACCATGACGTAGGGCATGCTGCTGTTCGGGTAGGAGGTGTCGTCCTCCTCCGCCGCTATCATGAACGCCATCGCCTCCACCGAGTGGTGGTGGAGGAAGCGGCCGATGACTGCCTCCTCCGCTCCCATGGCCTCGAGCAGGTCCTCTGCCTCCCGGTTGCTATGCACCACGTGGACCGCGTCTCGACGAGCATGGAAGGAGATCCACTCCACCATCGAGCTGTTGCGCTTGCCGCCCTCGTAGCTCCGCATCCTCCCATACGCGTACCAGTAGAGCGAGGGAAATCCCATCACCCCCATCGACTGCGAGAGTGTCGGCTCCTCGATCGCGTTCACCTTGGCCAGCATCACGTTGATCTTCTCCATGCGCATGTGGGAGGCGACCTTCTGGTAGATGGGCTCGAACTTCTGGCAGTGCCCGCACCATGGAGCATAGAACTCCACCAGCATGTGCGGCGCCCTACCGGCCACCGTCTCGAAGTTCCTCCCGTTGAGCACTGCCACGTCATCGTCCCACTGCACATGCCCGTCCCACGCGCGCAGGTCCCATCCCTCCTGCTGCCATGGCGTCTCTTCTTCGTCCTCTCCCTCTCCTCTCACCGCCATCGCCATCGCCATCAACATCACCATCGCAATCGCCCGGCACCTCGCCCAACTTCTATGTGCCACCATAGCAGTCAAGCTTGTCCCACATCCCCGCTCAGCCGCACGCAGAAAGCACGCAGAGTAAAAGTCCAGGTGACTAAAAGTGCACGAGCGTATAAAGCCTACTAACCCGCCTCAATAATATGCTAGGAAACGAAAAAGGCAGCGAAAGAAGAGGTTGAACTCCTCTTTTACCGGTAATAGGACGGGTACTTTTCCATGCACTTGAATATGGGTGGGTTGGTAGAATTGTTGGGAATCGCAATGGCGATCCCGCGACAAACTGTTTCAAGGATGAATAACTCAAGAAAGAAAATCTGTACAATGCAAAACAAACATTTTTTATTCAGAGACACATACAAAGTCGTTCTCTATACTTGTTAGCTTTGGACACGTCTTAACTTTTGACATATTGTCCCCTCTATGTCTTCTTCCGTAGACCTACAACCAAACAAAGTTCGTAGTCCCTGAAATCTAGGCATTTGTCCTGTGAATCCTCCTCGTGTATCCAAAGATTGAGTATGTATACGTTTCCGAGATCGAGGTTGGGACCTGCACTCATTCTCTTTGTCCCGTGTTCCTTCTTCTGCGTTGAAAAGCTTCTTCTCCCCGCGTGGTCTGCTAAGAATGATTCGCTTTTTTGAGTGATCATACAAAAAGGCAGATTGGGGTCGATTGTTTTGAGAGCTCAGTGCATGCTTTGATGAATTACTTCAAGAAATCATTCTTGTCCAAATGATCTATCAAAGACCAGAGGTTTTCAACACTGTCTATGCAGAGCGTCCGTGTATTGTTGAATCGACTTCGTACACGTATTGTCATTGACAGGAAGAATCGAAACCTTCTTTCTCGATTCGAAGAATGGTCTACTGCTCTCTTCGAGGATTTGCATTCATTGCGAACTGCTATAAACGATTACTTTTTCAAGTAGTCTGAGATGTTGCTTCTTTCCATGCCAGTGACCTGACGATCATTGTACATGAATGCAAGAATGCCCGATGAACATGTTGACACAAGTGAGAGTCTTCCAAACAAACATGCCAAGGCGCAATCCGAACTGTTCATTCAGACAGTCCTTGAAACTTTTAGAACCCTTGACAGCCACACCCGATGTGACATGATTAGAAGGATTTTGAGTGAACACGACTCTCTGTGTCAAATACATGACAAGAATACAGAGCATGAGCTATCTGCGATATGTAATTTCGAAATGGCTGTTTCAAATCTGCATGCTGCTGGATTGCCGGATGTACTTTCCGAGTTAGTAATCTTTGCCAGATTCGACATCCAAGCTTTCAAAAGCACACATAGAATCATGCCTTACCTCGTCATGGATTGGTGTCATCAAAGCTTCAGAGCGAAGTATTCGAGGGGTATGAGATTCTCTCCGGAGATTGTGAGTTTCGCATCAACAATCCTCAATGCTTGCGACGGGAGTACGTTCCGTGTACTGTCAGGGCCAGGGAACAAGTATACGGGAAACTTCAATTCTGCACGTGATCTCAACAGGTCAAGAATCTGCATCAAGGTTTTGCAGGATTACGGTGAAATGAATTTTAAACTTGTAGAAGGTAATCATGTGTTGGGATGGACAAGACGATGATCAATGCTGTACTCCAGAGGTCCAGTAGCCGTTAGAACCCTTGCTGTCGCAGAGCCCTGATAAACTCCCAGTAACAGTATGGCAGAACGTCTAACATCTTCAAGCGCATCAACAATGGAAACTTCAGTCACACTCTTTCCGAGTTGAGGTATGAGATTCTCTCCGGAGATTGCGAGTTTCGCATCAACAATCAAAAACCTTGGCGATGGGAGAATGTTGCGTGTACTGTCAGGGCCAGGGAACAAGTATACGGGAAACTTCAATTCTGATCAGGCTTTGCATAACTTGCCTCTACCGTCATATCTACTCTCCATAACCTGCAGAGTACAGACATGAAGACACGTGATCTAAACAGGTCAAACATCATGTGTTGGCGACGGACAAGACGAAGGTCAATGCTGGGTTTTATAAACAATTCAGAGATTGCGAAGCAGATTTAGGTGGTGTCATGGGGAAAACAGTGGATTTGTGAGAACGGTTGAACTGCGACAGAGACGATTGGCTCACTCCCCATGCTGTACTACGAGGTATTTGCAGGCAGCATCCGAGGGCTCTTGCAGGAGAGAGTAATAAAGGCTCACTGAGTCAGATCGTTTCTCCATTAGCGTTGTCATATATATCTATTTTTACTCACGAAGAAAAAAAAAGGCTTGTAAAGGGTGGGAGACAGAGCGCATTGGGATGGGCTTAGTCGGATCATGGGGCAGACGTACATCTATCTAGCTAACTTACATTCCATACGCCATCGGCTGCTGACCGTACACGGGCGTCTGCACGGGCATGGGAGCAGCGGAGGCGTAGTCGACGGGGAGGACGGGGTAGGTTTGTGGGAGGTAGACGGGTACCATCTCCTCCACGGGAGGCTTAGCCACGGCAGCCGGGGCCAGGAACTTGTAGGCCAGGAACCCGAGCAGGGCAGCACCGACTACTCCTCCGATCACTCCGCCGACGATGGCGCCGACGTTGGTGCTTGACCCTGGTGTCGTGGTGGTGGTGGTGGTGGCACCTCCGCTCGGGGAGGAAGAAGCAATCGAGACAGCGAGCTTGCGAGGATCAGTCTTCCACACAAACATCCTCGTGCTCGATGAGAGACCAGCCCGAGTCTGTCCGTTGGCGAACTTGCCAATGAGCGTGTCGTTCAGAAACAGGCTTGCCGATGTCGCCGAGCTCGTCGACACAATCATCAACGACGGTGCTGTCCAGGTCGAGTCCAGCACGGAGGGCTTGTTCGAGATCGAGTAGGCGTAAGGGCTGCTGAGCGTGTACACCTGCTGCTGGACCGGCTGATCGCCGAGCATCTGACCGAAGGAGTCCAGCACCCACACTGGCGACCCGGGCTCGTACACGTTGGCAGAGCTTGCGTTGATGGCGCTGGAGGTGGAAGACAAGAGGCTGCTGCCTGACGCCGTGTCAAAACCGTCCATGAGGTCCTGGAAGTAGAGAGGGTCTGCCGGGAACTGCGAGGGCTTGTAGATCTCTGGGTAGAGGAGCGAGGGCCTGATCAGCCTCTGGGTGAACTTGTTGGTCATGTCCACGCTCAAGAAGACCTGGTTGGTGAAAGTCTGGTAGGAGTAGGAAGTGCCTGTCACACCAGGCAGGTTGCTGCCATCGCCGTTCTCGACGTAACGGTTGAGGGTCAGCTGCAGCGTCGGGTCAGTCGTGACCCCACTCCCCATGTTGCGCACTGAGAATCCAGACACGGTGTACACACCACCCGCGCTCATCCCGTACACTGGGACAGCTGAGAAGCCAGTGGCACCGGGATACGCTGACTTCACGTTGAACTGCAGCGAGAACAAGTTGTTCGGGAAGTTGTAAGGCACGTTCTTCGTGTGCGCCGCGGCTGTAGTGCCACGTCTGCCTCGGTTGGCTGCCGCCACATCTCCGGCGCCTGGGACGAAAAAGATCTCCTGGTCCAGCTCCGCCCAAACGTTGCGCGTGATCCCGGCAGGGAGAGTAATGCTGCTTGACTGGGCAACATACCTCAAGTGCATAGACCTCCTTGCAAAGCTTGTTGCCTGGATCGTCGAGGATACTGTCGGGGACGATACCCACTTGACAGTCGCCCCAGCGCTGTGTGCAGACGCTGTGGTACCGAGCTGAGCCCTTGACACCTGCAGGTTGTTTCCGTTAATGTTGACAACCTGCAGCTGCTCGTTCGACACTTGAATGTAGTCGTTCAGCTTGAACCCGGATGCGTCCGTCAAGATAACGCTCGTCAAGGAGCTGTTCACAGCAACTGCAAGGGTGGTCTTCTGGAAGCTGGTCTTCTGCTGCAGGGTTACCAAGTCAGATCCCTCATGGAAGGACCACGTGTTGTAAGGACTGATGCGGTTGATTGTCAACTCATGAGTACCCACCGCCTGCACCTGATCCAGCTCTTGTCCCACCTTGATGTAGTCACCAGCAACAAAGGTAGAAACATCAAACACCCCAACCTTGTTGTACATGTACAACACAGACTCGTTCTTGGTGTGAGTGAGAGTGGGGTTTCCTCGAACCACTGTTAGAGATGACCCGGATACACCCGTGACCTGGAGGATCTCGGAGGTGCCCTGATACGTATCCACACGAACAAAGTCCCCAGCGCTGTAAGTAGAACTCACGTCCCCGTACAAGTTGACAACTGTGTCGTGTGCTGCCATGTCTTGGCTCAAGAGTCTGGCATCCTGAACAACATAGACCTTGGTTCCGGCAGGGATTACCAGCCGGTTGGTTGTACTCACCGATTGGGTCTGCGGATACATGGACACAAGATTCAATTTGCTATTTGCCGCGTCGATGGACGTAACATTGAACACCTGTGCGTCGATGACCACCGTCGCTCCCGCACTGATCCCCTCGAATTGCTTTAAAGTAATATCCGTCAACTCTGTCGTTTGATTGACGGCTGTGGATACAGTGTCGTTGATGAATTTGACCAAGGTTGGCATTTTGTCGACCTTCTGGATGACAGTTCCAGTCTGGGGAAACTCTCCCTCGGTTGTGTTGGCCTGTCCTCGAGCGAAGCTGGAGCCTCCCAGATACTTGATCACCTCGTTCTGAGTCCCAGATGTCATCAAAAGGTAGTCGCCTGCAGCGATCCCATTCATGTCAGACAAATCACTCGATGTGATGGCGGTATTTGCAGCGATGGTTTTTGTGAGAGTCTTGGGGTTGAAGACGTACGTGACAGGCGTCCCAGCATCTGCGGTTGCCTCGGCCGTGGTTGACTGCTGTCCACGAACAACCGTCAGGTTCTGCATCAGGTATCCGCTGGTCGAAGAGACAACAGATTGCACGAGCATGACCTCTCCCAGCATCTGGACATAGTCTCCAGCCTGAAATCCGCTGGAAGATGACCCCAGCACGGGGTCCTTCACCTGGATCAGCGGATCGCTTGCAGAAGCGACCTTAGATACGAGCACCATGCCCCGCCGAGTGATGGTCGTACCAAGTGCGGAGGGCTTGGTAGTGGAAAACAATGTTCCAGCCGCGTGCTCCGCCGGTGTTGTCTCTAGCTCCCCTCTGGTGACATACACCAGATCTCCAGAGATCTCAGTCACCTTCATGATCTCGTTACCCAGCGTGATGTAGGCACCCGCAAACAACGAGCTGGTGTCTGTGATGTTGATGCTTGTCTGCGTTGTAGTCACACCGGCCCTCAATGCGAGAGGAAGCTGCAATGTCAACGCTGTCTTGCCCACCACCGCGCCTGTCTTGTGCGAAGCAGGGAGAGTTCCGCCCTGTCCGCGGAGAACGGTCAAGCTGGTTCCCGTCGATGGCACTGATGAGATGAACATGATCTCGTTGTTGATCAGGACATATGTGCCCTGGCTGAACTGAGTTGCTTTGGTCAACGTCAAGGTGGTCGCAGTGGAGGAGACGTCTTGTAGCAGAACCGATCCTGGATTGAAAGTCCGAACGATGGTTCCGACTCCGTAAGTCCCCGTGGTGGTGTTGAACTGCCCTCTGTACACCGACAGCGTCGTAGACGTGAGCACAGAGTCAATGAGCAAAATCTCGCTCTTGATCTTGATGTAGTCGTTGGCGTTAAACCCTGCTGTGGATCCTACTGTCAAGATCTTGGTGGTCGCTGCTGCTCTGCGAGCCGACACCCCTTGGAAGGTGGTCACTGCTACACTCGCCGTTGAAACACCGTACACTCCGTCGCTAAACCCCGAGCGCAGAAGATAGTCAATCTTGGTCACCTGCTCCGCAGAGTTGCGAAGAGCACCCTTGCTGTACGAAAGATCGCCTGGCCAGTAGAGAGGGCCAGGACTCAACGTCTCGGAGTTGGAGCCCTCCGTGAAGTAAACAAGGATCTCCGCACAGGGGTAGGATGCCCCTGCGTCCGAGGGAAAGAAGAGCTTGAGAGGGTTGGGGGTGTTCGGAGAGAAGCCGAAGCCAGCATTGAGAAGTACAGGGCTGTCAGTGTTGGCGTTCCACCCGATCGCTGTAAACGCCTCATCGGTCAGAACAGCTCCTGCCTGGGTGCCAACCGTGGAAAGGTAAGTTGGGCAGTTGTCCTGCGAACAAGGGAAGGTAGTGCAAGGGAACTG